ATAAGCAGTATGTTTGGCATGTGCTATTTAGTTATCGAGAATCCACTGTAAAATGCCACTCCTTATTATCTGCTTGTGGGAGATTATTGGTCTTTCGGCATAGTACTACGGGGTTAGCGTAAGGGCTACTTATGGGAAATTTTACCTTGTTCTTTATCCCTTCTTGTATAGGTTTCTAAATAATTTTCGCTTTGGCTTTATCGTAACAGTAGTATTTTGCGCTGCGGGGAGAGTATTTCACGTGTCTGTGTTGTGGTTTACAATTTGCGTGAGACTAGAGGTATCGTCAAGTTAATTAGCGAAACGACTTAACGACTTGTATCTCTCTTCAGACAGTAGGCGATTCATCTCAAAGACCGGAGGGTGCGTTTCTTTTTTCTGAACTTCGTTCAGATCCAGCTGTACCGTGGCCTCCTAAAAGTTTATTTTAGCCCCCTACGCCTTTAAAAAATCCATTCCCAAAATTCCTGGAGCTTGTAGATTTTTCACAATGAAGAAAACCGCTTTTTGTTGCTCATTTCGTATTTGTACGATTTTATCTACGCGTACCTTTGAGCGACAATAAATTTTGCTTCATCAACCCCAAGCATTCTATATTGCTAAAATGTTGTGGGAAACAATTCTATGCAAAGAAATTGTTTCGAGCACCTGTCTCCAATAGTGCATCTGCTGGAACACCATTTAACAATATATGTATTACGGACACAGCCAAATTTTTTATAATTACCATATTTAATTGAATTCTAGAGAGATTTTCTTACCTTTGGGGTAACTGTACCCTCTTACTTTCAGTACCCCCTTTTAGCTTAAATTTTTATTGCCTTCTTCCCCCTGTTTTCTCTTTTGCAATTTTTCTTGGCGATTCGCCACTCGCTGTTGAAAATTTTTTTCTACTTTCAAAACGTTTATTACCGTCAAACCACGGCTTCCCTTGTACTATAAAACTATCCTTTCTACATCTGGCCATATCTTGATATACGCGTACTTTTCCCAAACCTCCTGCTTTCAAACTCTACTGGTAGCTCAAGTAAACTCTCAAGTGTGTTCGGTTTTCTTAACTCGAAAAAATTTTGAATTTGTAGTAGCAGCCTAGGAAAAATAATTTGAATAACCACTGAATCGGGCCCTTTCCCACATAACAAATCTAAAATTTGTATTCTTAATATAAATTAGTGCATTTCTTCGACTTATGCTTACTAAAACTTCGGATATTTACTAAAACGTTTCGTTCGCAATTTGATCCTATCTTTTACTATGGATAATGCTTTTACGAGGGCGGTTTTACATACCTCGAACTTCTAGGTTTCCTTTTCTGGTTCACCCAACAAATATTTTTCTATGCACTTGTACTAGCTCAGTGCTTGTTCTCGTAATGTCGTGGTTGCTATAGTAATTTTTAAATTTCCGATACCGAGAAAAGCAAAAAAATGCGAATCTACATAATCAAGATACCTCTTCTTCCTCCTTCTCAATTTTAATGCAAGACCAAACATAAGAACTCATATCTATAATAGCAACCTACCATACATACATGTAAGCTAATGGGCATTCTAGCGGGAAAACGGAAAGGGATAAGTGACAGTACAGATCCAAAACATATTGGTTATAAAGTTAAAGGAACCTCACAATATGTTTTCTGAAACTATAAATTTTGTCATACATATTACTGCGTGGGTGCTGGATATATTCTTCCTTCTTAATGTAGACGTGAGTGAAATGTGGGCATTGCATAAACCAGACATTTAACGGCATAAACACTTTACTAACACACAAACAAAACAAGTAGTTAACACAAAAATAGAACCATATTGTATCACTATTACGCTGGTATACATCGGGTTACTTTCGTTACTTAGCTACTAACAGTCTCTTCTCTTCTCATATAAGTCATGCGAGAGAGAAGCGTTGCACGCCATTCTGCTAAATTGCGCATGCGTGGTAAAGGTGTGGTGTTCGCCTTCCCCGTTCCTAATCAAATCTTAAATTGCGCATGCGTGGTCATCACGTCATCACAAATTTAGTTGTCATGTATTATAAAAACGATAATTCAATTTCAATTATGATGCAAACTTGAATTTGCTTCAAATATTTTGCCTTGGAGTTCATATTTTAGTATCATCACTTTCATAAAAAAGCGGAGATATACTCATGCAATAAATATGAGAGTAATAATAACTTATCCTAAGTTATGTGATACTTTTATTGTTTTTGTGCAGCAGGGACTATTTAATGGTAGAAAAAACAATACAATAAACTTTCGCTGTATCCGGAAATAGTTCGGCTGTCACAAACGCAACCTCGACTGGCATTCTGCCAAAACATATATAATCGTCTAAAAGGGGGTTAATTACACTCCATGAGGTGAGAGGTCACGTGAAAGTTTTCTCTTTGTCAGAAAGAGGGAATTTATAGTACCGAGAGAGTGAAAGTCCACTTGTCGTTTAATCAGCTGTCGTCAGTTGTCTTTCTTTCGGGCCTTTTTATTAATATTCATAGAGATAAATACTAAGATTTGTATTGATTTGCAGCCCGGAAAAACAAGAACGTTGGAATTTTTATTTTATTTGAAATTATAACTACAATTACAATACAATAAAATTTACATATTGCGTTTGATTATAAAATAATATACGTATATCAGAACTAATTTGGAAAACACTCGTATTTTTACGAATATGTAATTAAATAAATGTACAAAATAAAACACAATGTAATAAAACAGCTAATTATAAATAAAGATCAGCTTATGAGCTTAGATTACTTAAAAGCAATTTTCTGTCTCCTAAGTCTGTGCCCTTTGAACGCCGTGGAAATAAATTAAATAAATTATGAAATTATAAAAAATTCCTTGGCATTTCAAAGAGCAGCCGATGAATTTTCAACAGAGCCACGTTTCTGAATTATATCTAAATGATATAAATGTGATTATATCTATAATTTAATTTTGATTTAATTTTTAATCCTCTGATAAATTAATTCATTTAGAAGCATATTGTGCGATTTTAATGCTATATATCACCTCAATGTGAAATTTCTCATCTTTTATGTATTATATATAATTATATATCAAGAGAGAGAGAAATAGATAAATAGATGTATAGAGAGCTTTTAAAGATATGACTATGAGGATTATTAACATAGAAAATTCTTAATATAAGGCAAATTTCCTTTCTTCTATAAATCCATATTGCTTAATATAGTGATTAAAGCTAATTTAAATATAAATGGGGTCTTCTGCTGTAACTAGAAACTTGTGTTAATGGCTTTCAGACCCTACTGGACTGGAAGCGAGTTATCGTAGTCTGAAACAAATCACTGAGACTAAAGAAGGCTAAAATAACAATTTTATTTAAGTCTTAAATGAACAGAAAGCACAGCCTGTGTGACAGGTAACGTAGTCGGAGACTACAAATAAAATAAATTACTTAAGCCGGCTCCAGATAATTAACAGAGCGTATTTTAAACGTCGGCTAGCAAGACGCTAAAGGCAGAAAGAAAGTTAGGTAGAACTCGGCGATAATACGTAACGGCATGACGAGGCTGACAGAAGAACTCTAAACGGCTTAAGTGCACAAACAATTAATTTGCATTCTGGTGAGAACTAAGGAAAACAGAAGTTATGGTAAAGGCTTATATCTAACTGGCTATTTTATATAAAATATCTTATATAAAAAACACTTGATTTTAAAAACAAAATAAGCTGGGTATTCAGTGATCCTGCTCTCTTCAAATTCTCAAACTATATACTTGTCTGCTGCCTCTTAACTGTTTCGGTTATGTATTTCAGTGCGTTTGTTATTTTAATTACTTTTACATACCTCTACCAAAGGCTTACATTGCAAAGCTCTATTTTCACTTATTAAAGGTGTATGAATTTTTCAGTAATTTTTAATGAATATTCGAGGAATTATTTGATTTGTTACGTAACGGAAACTACAAATCTCTCATGCATAATAATACCATGTAATATAAATTTTATTTATGTCTGACGCAATTTAAATTACAAGGGCCGGTAGGAGGCCAGTACAAGGGCCTTCCTGTAGGAGGGACAAATTTGTATCTTGCAGCATAGGAGAGTAATAATTGAAGAATGATTGAGGAGTATTAAACACTGTTTAAATTTTATATCGAAAACACGTTCTAGACGTATGTGTTTGGTTTGGATTCATTTATACGATTACGGAAAATCACTCAAAAGCTATCTGCCTAAGGGAAGGGATACTTTCGTGGAGGACATTCTATGCAAAACTGATTCGTATACACATGGCGAAAACCATAAAAATGTTCTTCTAGCCAGTCCGTTCGCCGGGATTTGAACCCCAAACCGAACTACCAGTATTCACCAACTTTACCGCTCTGCCGCTGGTGGGCCCTGCCGCAACATGTGGATGGCTTTAAAAGAGCAAAATGTAAATTGCTCTTTGCCAGAACATTAAAGAAGTAAAATGTGTACAATTTTGTATCAGTGACTGAAAATCAATTATTTATGCTGTACAATGCAAGAAAAATTCTGCAAATTTTCGGATTTTTTTATAAAGCCATATATTGATTTATAATATTTATGTAAAACTCTCTGAGCAATACATTTTTAATTAATTTTGATCTCGTTTTGTAAAGACGTATCTTATAAATATGAAAACCAAGAGAAATAGTATGAAGAAATGCATTATAGGATAGAGAAAAGAATATTTATGAAAAATGTTTATAGACTGTAGTGTGTCAGTCTTATTGAAAATTAGTGATTCATTCTTATTTGTCAGAAGAATATGGTGCATGATTACATTTGGTAAAAATTAAGTTATGTTGAGAAAGCAAACTTTTCTGTTAACATCAAACGAGATAACGTAAAAATGAAATACCTTGCAAAAAATAGAAACATTACGGAAATTATTTTTTAAAACAAGTTTAGGAGTAAACACCAGAAGATTTTCCCACGGTGAAATGATAAGAGTCATGTTTTTATCTGATACATTTCAAATTTATTTGTACATCAAACTTCTGAAAGTAAACCTGATATCATTCTGAGAGAAAACATATGTTATATATACATCCTTTAAACAGTCATATCTGTTTTGCAGTTGAAAGCCCTAAAGATACTTCCACTAGAATTATAAAGTAGGTAAGATTTTTGTTGATCGCAATTTTGCATTTTTTTCTACCTAGTTCAAATTTCAGTATTGTCATTTTAATGCACATTTTCACATGATTGTTGACAATTTAAACAATGTTTCAGATTTTACGTTTTGGGTGCAAGTCGGATATTATAAAAAATTTTCACTTTCGTCACATGCTTTTGACTGATAACATCCTAATTTATGTCATAGTATCGAATCAAGTTTCTCTTAATGAAATCAGAAATAATATAAAATAATGCAGAAGAAATAATCAAAAAAGAGCAGTTGTACAGACTACAGCATAACGTTAAATTACTTTTACTAAGAGAGTTTAAAAACTACAATTCATTTGACTACTATGTTTATGTACATCTGAGCAAATATACTCTATATTTAAACAAAGGTTTTGCTGTTTTGGTTTCATGGAACTAAAAAATTTCTAATGCAAAATCTGCACCGAATTTATTTCTAATATTTAGCAGTTTTTATAATCGTATATGAAATGTCGCTGTTCTCTGACTGAGAATAATTTGCTGATGAAATTGACTTAATAAATAATTTGAAGTATAAATCCATAAAAAAAAAGATAAATAAAACAGACTAGAACTTTGAAGGAGCAAACGCAATTTTGTCAGCTTTTCTGGTAACGTGGAACTGAAGTCTATTTTAGCAACAAACTTAACTATCTTTTCTAGAAAATGTAGAGAAATTTAATTACTATTAAAGAAAGTTTAATACTTGAACAATATTATTAGAAATACATAATTGGTATTATTATGAATTACATTTATATTCATAATATTTTTTCTTAGCCTTTCAAATTAGCAAATTACTTGAGATTACATGAAAGGTGATGGGAGTCACAATTTTTCTCAAAAACTAACTATGACTTATAGAGAATAACTTAATAATTATGTGTTAACCAATTTATATTTTTTAGCTTGTTCTCCATACATACAGATGCTGTTAGCACATTTTTAGACGATTTTCATTGTATTTACAGAAATATTTTACCTAAATTTTTTGGGATTTAAATGTCCTGTTTGATAACCCTTATTCTTCACTATCTTTCTTCGTCTCAATTTCAAGACAATAAAGCTTTTGTAGCATCGGAAGAGATATTTTATTCCATTCTACTTGAACGGCTTTCCAAAGTCCAACGAGGGCTGTAGGTCGACGTTTGGACCATCCACTTTCTGGAAGTCCCAAAACTCAAAAATCCATCGGCTATACATCAGCAGTTTAAGAAGGAATATGAATCAAGGGTATGGCATTGATATCCGTTTCACGTTCCATTTTTTTTTTTTCTGGAAATAAGAGTGGATTTTGACTTGTGGCTTCTTGCTTTGTCTTGATGCAGTTCTACTGATTCATGGTACTGTGGGTAAAAACATGGTATTTTATACTCGAAAATTTGGTATAGCATATGTTTCTGCTAATATGTGGAGTTATTAGTATTTTTTCTCTTCTCTCTTTATTTTTAATTTATCGTTATATGAAAAACCAGCAACAATCATAAATCTCTTTGAAAACCTTTCTGTAGATTCTTTGAAGTATATTTTAAGATTTTTTCCCTCCTCTTTGATGATAATAAATAGACCTCTTTTTATTGAAGTCATTTAACCACAACCAAGATTTATGTATTTTGACATAAAGTTTTCCATTTTTGTCCAGATATTTCTCCTAAAGAATCCTGCAAAGCGTTCTGCGTTCGGTGATATGTCTTGGAGAAAGATGATGCACATTATATTTTTTCGCCTTTTTAAAACTCAAGTCAGCATTCATCACTTTTTTACAGTTTCACTGAAAGTTTTAGTGATTTTGCAACTAAAGGATTTATTTTAACATTAAAAATCTTACTTTTGCAACACTCGAAACATTACAGTTTTTGCTTGATATCTGGAGGAATTTTTCCACTTGAAGCCAAACTCTGACGTTTTTCTCCTTTCTTGTTGACAATATTAGGCAATATTATCTACTGTAGCTCTAGATATCGCAAAACCGTAACTTTTACAGAGTTTTCTTTTTCTTTTTTTTTTTTTTTTTTGTAACTAGATCGGAACAGTTTTAACCGGACACAGCACAAAGCCAAAGCCTTCCATCCATTGCTTCTTTAAAAGCGCATTTTGCATTAAAACAAAACTGTCAAGTAGGAGATGATAATTTATACTTTTAAGAACATAGCTGCGTGAAAAAAATTCGAAGCAAAGGACATTTTTATGGCACAGAAAAATCGTCTAACTCAGCGTACATAAAAATACACGAAATATGCATTTATTCCTTAACCCGAAGTCTTTTGTTCTTGCTTTTTGTAACGAAAAGTATATTTATCAAGTCTTTCTTTTTATCAGGAAGCCTACCAATATCATCTCAAAATGCGGTCCCTAATTTTCGGTCTTATGATCTGGATAACCTTAGTGCAGTGGATATCTGTTTCAAATGCAAGTAAGTCTACTTCTTCAAATGAGAGGAAAATAATTTTAATCTTTAAAATTTTACAGATGCCTTGATCATATTTTAGTTATAAACTTTCGAAACAACTGAGAAAATTCATTAACATATATAAATTTTCTATCGATTATCTTTTTAATTAGTGGATAATCTTTTGTTGGAGTTTGAGTACGATATTAAAACAAGACAACAGACCTAACGGATTTACTGTGATTGTTACATCCCAAGAGCATATTGGAAAGAGGACCTGATTTCTTATAAGATACTGTGTAAGATGTTGAAAGCATTCAACTTTGAGTATGTTATATACTCTATGGGCAATTGTAGGAGCACGAAACTTACTTACCTTCCATTTAATTAATAAGAACATCTTACATAATTTAAACAGAAAATTTTTGACGAATGGATATTTAATGTTTGCTAAATATTCGTGACAAAGAAAGTGAAATTACAGGAAATGACTAACTTAGATCTAATGATTAACTGTAAATTCTTCGTGTTATCCTTAAATTGTGGAAAAGCATTAGATGAAAGACAGTAAAAATACTCCTCTTAGGTAGATAGGGACACCTATCTTTAGGGAGACAGTGCACTTTTCAATTATCGAATTAATCCTACCCATTGTATAAATTCTTGCTGCTGCTGTTCTCTATTCTGAAAAGTATATTAACACGATATATAAAATTTAAACATATCTGCGCTGTAATGAATCTAAATAGAAAGCTAAACGTTTTGTTATAATTTCTTTTTTATTGTTAATAATGACAAATGAGAAACTATAGTTGTCTTTATAATAAAGTAAAATTTTTTTCAATCAAGTGAAGAACAATGCAACAGTTTGTGAAAATAGGATCAGCTATTTTTTTACTCTTAAATCATATGCCCTCTTCTGGTAAAGTTAAAAGCAAGTGTAGAGGAAGAACAGGCGCTCTAACAAACAGTAATCGTGTTGCGGAAATTGGAAATTATTTTAAAATAAACTGTAGGCTCGCCTCTTTTCTTGTTTAAAAAATAATAGTTAAGATTTTTACATCCAACTAACTTGGTGACCAACATATGGAAACAATTGGAGACATAAATAATTTAATTATTTCATTATGTGCAATATGGATCATCACATATATTTCCTTTTTCCTAATGCAAGCTGCAACTATACAGATACGTAATGATTGCTGTTCAGTAAGATTCGAGATTTTCCACAAAATACCTGAAAAGTGATTTTAACTAGTGTAATATACAAGTAATAAAACCTCATGGATACGTATTATATGTTTGGTATAATTCCTGCTACTTCATTAGATTACTGAACTCAGAATACTTCAGAGAGAAATAATATAATTTTTAGTTTAAAAAATGCGATTTGCTTTTTAAACGAATTAAGAATAAAATACATTGACTCTGGTTGAAGCCAGGCTAAAATTTTATACCTTTTCTCAACATATTTTTGATTGATGGCTTAGTAAATGAATAAGATGTGGAAACATATGAAATCGCTGTTACACTGGAATTTTGCACCAGCGTCTTGCCGTCTCATCATAATGATAATTAACATTGATTTGATATGATTAAAATAAATACTTCCTTCCAAATTTAATTTTAAAATCCCTAGCTTTGTTGTGCAAACTGTTTAAAGTGCGCGAAATAATTGTATGCATTGACTTTAGTTAGGCACTGAGGGATAAATGTTTATTTATTTAGTATGAGATAAATGTTTATTATTAGTTTAAAATGTATGTATGGGTAGCATAAAAGGGCTATCTTCCTAACAGAAGGAATGCCTTTCTAATATTCTATTAGAAAGAACTTTCTAACGGAAGATGGCTCTAATTCACTTAACACATGGAGAAAAAGCATGAAAACATACAGCATCCAACCCTCTTCCTGCGATTCGAATTTGTGTAGATGTATTAATGTCATAGATTTTTATGCCACTAAGGAATAAAATTGGAATTACTTACTTCTATTTTTTCTTATTAAACTGTAGTGTATACGAAAAACATTCAGGCTTCCTGAAACTATTGCCCCCTGATCGATTTAGTGGTTAGTGCTTTTTGGTTGCTGTACCGTTTAATTCTGGTTCGAATCCTGCAGAAAGCTTGGATATTTGTAACTGCATAGAGACTGTTGCGGCATGAGATACTTAAAATGCACGGCAGGCTGAAAGTGCTTTTGGGGGTTTGGTGGTAGAAGAAGAAGAGTTCTCCTCCAGGATTGGGGCAGAGTTTAACAGCTAGTCCGGCGGCCATTTATACCTGTGCCTGTAATAAGCTACTTCTTAATTCTTTCTGAGGGTGAACGCAATTTCATACTAAGCTACTAAGAATGAGTTTTAAAATTATCGAAAAACGAAGCATAACAATTTAGTATTCTTTTTAATACTTTAATAAAGAGTTGTTGTAAAAGTTCTAATACTAATAGTAAAAAGTTGAATACTAATTCAGATATCAATTCTCTTTAGAGCTGAGAAAAAAGATTTCTTCATGTGTAAAAGTGTAATGAAATTTAAAAAGACTGTAAGGTATCTCACGGAGATAACTATCAGTAAACTTTCACCCTAGTGTTATGCAGCTATGTTTTATTAACTTAAAGGTACTATTTCGAGAGTTCGCTTTAGAGGGAAAAAAAAACATAAAAACTTAAGCTTTGCAAAAGTCTTCTTCGTCCACCAACTGCCGAGCGGTAAAGTCGCTAAACATTGCTAGCACTACCCTGGTGTATATAAGCATTCCGTATCGCGCCACGCGTATAGGAAAAACCCTTGAACATACTTTCCGATGACATGATATTGTGTACGTTTGAGAACGCCTTGGAATAATGACGTTTAGGTGGGATTCCTATGGTTTTATTTTCGCTGAATGACGCACATGAGTGGCACGGAAGCAGGAAAACTGTTGTTTGTTTTCTTCGAATAATAATGCCGGATGAAAAATTTACATGTAGCTTTCTGATGATGGTCTTCCTTTTCATGAAATAATAAAATTATAAAATCCTCCAAGGATGTTGTTAATATCCGAAGCAATCGTAAATGCTTAGATGATATAAATAACTGAGTTCATGATTTTAGTACAAAAACCGAAACACAGACGATCTCTCCTAACTGCAATGACACTGTCTGCTCATAAGTATATAATTATCGCAATTTTATTTCAGTTCACATTGCATAAAATTTTTTCTTTGCAACTGTGTATGTTATTTCCATATTAATGTCCATGTCTTTCACATTTCTAATGTTCTATTACCTTAAATGAAAGAATATGCATTCAGCTTTATTGTTAAATTTAATACTCTGTATAACAAAAGAAATTTCTTTTTCTGTTAAACTCTATTCTTATACCAAAGACACAAAGCATATTACATATTAAAAATTAATAATATTCATAAAGTAATATTATCAATTCAAACATGCATATTTATGCTTCTCTGTTCCAAATCTATAGTAGTCTAAATTCAAAAATAAATTTTACTTTTTCAGTCTGACTGTGAATATCGTGAATTTACACTTTATTTTGTCAGCTTCTCATATTTTTGCTATTTTAAGAAACTGATTTGTATCATCCTTTCGGAAATTACATCCGCGAAGAATGGATATATAGTGAACATGAAATAATGAATTAATAAGAACGGTTTTAAATTAAAAATACTGTTAAGAATTTTATATTAAGATAACTAATGTTTGTAGAATTATAATTAAAATTGTTTTATTTCCTCGTGCAACGCAGCGCGAGATGAGTTTTAAGAGAAAGCTATGCCGGAAAAGTAAAAATACGGGAGCACATGCATTTAACATTGAATAAAAGTTTATCTTGGTAATTTATATTTAATTTGAATAAATGTAATTGGCTACTATGTTAGCTGTAACAGTAATTTCATCCTCATTTTGCTTTCCAGAAATTTATAGAAGCAGAATTTACTAGAAAGATCTCGCGCGGCTGGTTAAAAGCCATAAAAGCCGGATAGAGAGAGAGAGAGCATTCTCAGTTCAGTTGTTTAGTTAGCTGCTGTTGTTACTGTTGATAGGGTTAACTTTCTCTTTAAATGCGCTGTGTATTGCTTTCGATATTACGCTTTTAGTAGCTTAAAGTATAACTACTGTTTATATTGCGTGATATTTTGAACACTTGTACGAATATTTCGGAGGAAAATTCCAGCATTCTGTTATATTTCTTTTGATAAGGATACATTTTATTAATATGTTTCAGTTAAAATTTAAGTTTCACTTTAGAGCGTATTTGGGAACACAAAGAAACATCTTCTTGTCTATTATTAAATATTTAACTGGATTTCGATTTAACATGGGCTCACTAGCGGCCGAGTGGTAAAGCCGCTAAAAACTGGTAGTTCGGTCCTGGTTCGAATCCCAGGGAAGAGGCTGGCTGCATGGGCGCTTTCTTGGTTTTCTCCATGTGAAAAGTAACCCTTAGGGAGTCCACCACAAAGGCACTCCTCACCTTAGAGAGGCAGCTCTCGGGTACCTTGCCATAGCCAAATGAATCAAACCAAAAACATTGTCCTCGCTTATAAACACAGATAGAGCTACCAGGCATTTTGCTTTAATGCTGTCAAATTGTGCCATGTTTATTCCGTCTTCACATGACTATAGCTTTTCAGTATTCCAGTAAATTTCTTTTAGCAGTTTACATTAAATTAGTAATTTATAAAAATATTCAAGACACATTTTTACAGGTATATTTTGAAAAACGTATCAGAAGTATAAAAGCACAAAGTTTAACTTTATTAGATTAAAGAAATTAAAATTTTAAATTATTAAAGTAATTATCGGGCATATGTATTATGTTACTTGAGAACAGGTAGGAAAAGAACCTAAAAATATGAACAAATTGCAAATAATTCAAATGGTTTTTAAAGACACTTTAAAGTTTATTTTTCAAGACAAACGTTGCGTAATATGTCAAAAAGTTTTATTCACAATTCTGACAAGAGCCATATTATCCAGCTTAACTTTTGAGAAACATCGACGTAACATACACTACCCGACATTGAAAATGCAACACCGAGGAGTGACCAGAAAGTGATGAAACTCGGCAAGCGTAGCAAATAATGAACAAAAATAAGTGATGTTTATTTTGAAATGATATGCATAACACACAGCGTCGGCTCGGTAGGTTCTAGGAACGCCTTGGACGGCGATACACGAAGCAACACGTCTAGGTGCAGAGTCAATGAGAGTACGGATGGTGTCCTTCGCTTCAACCATTTGCCACAGTTCGTCTTCTGAAGGCAGGGTCTGCAAATGGCGTCCAATCACATTTCAAATGTGTTCGATTGGCGAGGGATGAGGAGAGAACTGTGGTCAGGAAAGCATCTGTACACCTTGCAGAGCATGTTGGCTGATGCGAACAGGGTGTGGTCGAGTGCTATCCTGCTGATAAAGAGCACTCGGCACTTCCTGAAGGTAGGGGAGTGTCACCGGCCGCAGCACATCATCCTCGTATCGTTGCGCCGTCATAGTGCTTTGTATACGAACTAAAGGTGACCTGGAATAGTACGCAATTGCGCCCCAAATCATGATGCCATGTTGTCGCGCGGTGAGGCATTGTACAATTGTTGGCTTTATTGGGCCTGTTTTTACATCGACGCCACACTCATACGCGATGACTATCGTGACTCACTCAGAACATGATCCTGCGCCATCCTGTCGCTCACATCGCTCGAACCAGGCACAATAGCAGACTTTGGCCTCTGTGATGTGAGATCAATGTCAGTCTTCCCCACGAATGCAGGCCACTAGCCAGCAGTCGACGGCAAATGGTTCTGGTCTACATGGGAACATCCAGGGTGTCTTGAACATGCAAGAATGGAGGTGGAAGTGGCTTGCGGTTGCGTCTATCACTCATGCTGTCGTCACTCTGATTGCACCGGCACTCCTAGAACTTGCCACATTTCCTCGTTCCAACCATCGTCGCCACAAACGGTGTACGTCCAGGTGTGTGTCAGCTGAGATTTGCCATATGGACCAACCTGCTCTTCTCAGTTCGATGCCCCTCGTAAAATCGTCTGTTTGCTAGAATTGCCTCCGTTGACGACGGCCTGTCATTCTTTGCTATTACTCGCGTCCTCTGAGACAAGAACAAATTTCTACAGTGAGTTTCCTAGCAGAAATAACGGCACGAAAATTCAACGTTCTACCGGTTCCCCTTCCCTTATATTTTCTTCAACATGCGCTGGAGAGCTGCACATTACAACATCGTTCGCATAACTCGGTGACATGCGTCTATCCTGAAATTCGCATAATTTTCGAGCCACTCTTTCTTGGTGTTGCATTTTCAATGTCGGGTAGTGTATTTAGAAAAGGCACGAGAATAAACAAGCAAAAATGCTTAGCATTTATATTTATGCTAATCCTTCGTTCTTTCGAAAATACAATAAATATTGTAATCTGTAATTAAGATCTCATAACGATATTCAGTCATCAAAATTAAATTATTATAAAAAAGATGTATTTCTTATCTACAAAGTTGAAAAGTAAAAGAAAATAAGAGGTAGAATAGATTATTAGAAATGGAAGTATTTCATGTAAATGCTCCTTACATATTCAAAAGGTTGAAAATTAGCAAAAAAGAAAAAGAAAGGGAAAGAAAAATTATATTTTGAAAGCAAGATTCAAGCATATAGATAAATGCTTTTTCAAAATTGCGCACTGATTTGCTCCAAACACATTTTCGATCTTAGAAATACTAACTGAAATGAAATTAATTAAAATGTTTGAGATATATGTGTCTTTGTTATTTTTTAGGTGAAGCTTGCAATGATTACGTAGATCGTATCCTAAGAGACCTAAAAGAGGATAAGGAATATTTTCAGGACCCTTACGAAATACCTGAAAAGTCTTTTCAAGTAGGCAAGAAACTGATTTTCATCAACTACACTGGAGAAGCAAGCATTTATGATGGGCACGTCTTTGGACTTTCATCTTTACATCGAGATGGTGATGTCATAATCGACAGGAAGAAAAAAACTCATCTCAAGATCTATTTAGGAGCTGGAGAACTAAAAATGCAGTGCAGTGGCAAAGTTAAGTTGATGGGACATGGACCAAATGTAAATGTGGATGCAAAAATATCATACGTGAATATGAAGCTTGATATTGTACCAACTTCTAAAGGATCAAATCCTAAAGTTGCGAATTTTAATATTGAAGATATAAAAGGCTTTGAAATTAAAGTAAAAGGTCTAGGTCCCTTAAATTTTATTCTAAATCCTTATATACGTATCATGACTAAATTCTTCAAAAATCTGATTAAGTTAGGAATTGAAAGCAGATTGAAGACATTTTTAGATAAGAAACTAAAGGAATATGTTATTCCAGAGGAATGTATTAATGATACGTTTAGGAGAAGTCTAGGTTTATAAAAGGCCCAACATTCTGAATTAAAAATAGTTCAAAGCCTATAAATATGTATGATAAACTCGTTAAAATATTAGAATAATATATAACTATCAAATTACATGAGACAAATTAATAACGTTTTAGTTACCTTTTCAGTAAGAAATATGAGAAAGGCTTGATTGCAAAGCTTTTACATTACTTGTGTTTTGTTTAGCAATTTGAACTGTAGATTTTAGAAGCTGATATCTCATTAATCAACTGAAAGATGTAAAAATTAATTTGTATTCTCATAATCAATATTAGTGTTAATCGCATTTTTGTCAAGTTAAATGCAATAATTTAGAACTTTTTATTTTGATTTAATCACTATTATATCACGCAATGGGAAACTATTAATTTTCCTTTTAAAACTGTAATGTTCCACTATCTTATTAAACTGTAATGCAATAAAGTTTTATGTGCTTCTGCTCTGAATATCCTATTTATCTGAAATGCTTAGTCACTGTTAAAATCAGTTTCTGCATGCATTCAAAATGACTGAACAGCAGAGGATACCTTTAATTGTAAAATATTTCAGATTGTAATGCATTCATATGTTTTTGGAAATCTCAAATTCTTTAAACAACTGAAGCTGACACAGTAATTCTATAATGACATATACTAGTAGCTCAAATTATGGACTGTTAAAAATAATTTTAAATAAAACATCTTCTAAAATCACTTGACTTAATCTGTCTACTGCGTAAGTCGAAAAGAATCATCTTCTAACAAATGGTTATAATAAATCATATAATAGGTACATATTTACCTTTGTTACCTGAATTAAATTCTTGATTTCTGAAGTTTTTGTCACTTATTACAGATGCTCTGTATAAGAAACTTTTGTGACATGACACACATCCACTCTGAAATCTAGAGGAGCAAATTACAATGCGCTGGTCACCTGGTTTCCAAAGCCGCAAGCTCCTTGTGATATTACAATTTTTAATTTACTTAGTTTGTTTTTATATTTGTGATGGGGGTATATTTAAAACGTTTCTTTTGTACCGCTATTGCCTTTCAGCCTTTATGGACTCAAAATGAGCAATCTCCATACCGTCGCGTCAGTTATATTAGATGTATTTCAAAGTGCGTGAAATGAAATGAACTAGAGTGTGTCATGTAACACAAGAATACCCAATACAATATCTATGGTGTCTGACAAGAAATTTAGATAGTTAAATTTAATTTAGCGTATCACAGACTTAAAATATGGCAATTAAATTTTTTTGCTATAGCTGTTTGCATAAAGACTATTCTTTTTGACTTAATGGGTTCACAACCCAAATGGCATAAGACCAGTTTGGAGAGTTTTAAGAAATATAAGCACTTTTTAAAAATTAGTGAAAGCTAATGAGGAAATCAAAGCCGTTTTCTTGATCTAATGTATGATAATAGTAATTCTAGTCTGTTAATTTGTCTAAGAAATATGCATATTAGAAAGAATTGATATAGAAAACATAATAAAACTCCACGCAGTTGCTTAGTTTATGCTTTGAGCAAGTTGATACAAATTATGGTATAGTATATATTTAGAGAAAACATCTGTATTTAGATAAATCGAGTATTTTGGCATAAAAAAATTTTTAGAGGCATTTCAATTCTTGATTATTTGGGGGGAGAGGGGGGACTGACACAACATTTGTTTCTGGGAGTGACATAGTTAAATATTATATTGTAATCTTATTCAGATGCTGTTGAAAACAATATTAAAAACACAGGAATTTTTTTTTGCTATTTCCCTTGAATATAGTATAGCTTATGGTGGAAAAATATCTTATTGAGATTTTAGTTAGTTCAAATAATATTTAGGTGCCGATTTAGAGAAGCACTGCACAAAATTCATACCATGAATAATTGACTCATAAAATACTTTCCGTTTGCAACTTTTTCTAGTAAAAACTGGCTTCCTTATGGATTTGTCTTTCCTGTTTAAAGAGAATTATTTAGATTTCTGGTGCCAATAACATAAAAGGGAACAAAGAATTGGCTAATGGCTGCTAATTTCGATATTAACGTTCATAACTTAAATAAATACATTAAATTGCCTGTTAAAACTTTCATTCAGTATTACGATATGTTTCTCATGGCCTAAAAATTCAATTTTCTGCTTGCACAAGAACATTCGAAGTTCGCGTATCAGTTCTGGTACAGATCTTGATCATGAGAAGCTTCAGTATGATAAAAACAAGATCTTAAATTGAAATTTTTAAGCAGGCTTGAACCAAGGATCCTACTTAAACTGTCTGGTTTCAGATTAAAGGAATGAATGTTGGCGATTAAAGGAATGAATGTAAGGCGATTAAAGGAATGGATGTAAGGCATCTACATATTTCTATAGAAGCTGAGAAAAGGAAGATAACATTTTCTTTTTATAGGACGATAAACTGCTTATAGTTATATGCAAATGCGATTTTAATTAATGCAGTTTTATTTAGTGAGTTTTTAAAACTTTAATATTGAGTACAAAGCAATTCAAAAGCATACCTTTTACATAATCTCTAAAGGAAGTCTTAAACTCTTGAAAATAAAAAAAGAGTACGTCTAGAGCTCATGATCATTCCATTTATTTGTAAAAGGTGTTCACATAAATAGTACAAGTTCTACTACTTATCTGATACTGCTCAAAATCTTTAACTAATGTAGTAACGACATTAATTAAGGAAGCGAACTATAAGTGAGTTATCACTTCGGATCAAAAGATCAGCAATAAAACAACAAATTTATAAATTAGAAATCTTTATTTATTATTGACATATTCCGTACTTAGAAACTTAACAAACACAATATCGTTCAGGTTTTCGCGTAAAAAATGGTAACAAATCAAATACTTAACTATTTTTTCATATGCATCTATGCAAACTAATCTAAATTTCTGAGCCATGTGCAATAGGAGGCTACAAACTCTCATCCAAATAAAAAATTAAAAAACATTAGTATTACAACATATGAGTCAAATAACAACTGGCATATATTTGCATCCTTAATTAACTACATATGTTTGCTCTTACATATGGACTGAATGTGGTCGAGAACTACGAGCAAGTATCCTTCCAAAAAAAATATTTGCTTTTCGTTTTTTTTTAACTTTAATTACTGTTAAATACATCTTAGATTATTACTTACTTAGATCCCATATTTCAAATTTAAATTTAAAATAAATTATTCTTTTTGTGTATTTTTAAGCTTACTACCTTCGACTGCTTACTAAGATCGGTTCACATTTATGGGTATAATGAAATGAAAAGCAAGGCTACATCAGTGGAAAATTCAGGAAAATATTGGCTTGAATAACTTTGGGTTAGATTAGTTTATTCAAGTTGTTATGGTAAAGTACACAAGAGTTATCTGCCTAAGGGAAAAATGCCTTTGTAAAGTACTTTCTAAGAAAACCTGTCTCGTATTTTCATTACATATTGGAAAATGATGAAAATTAATCATACAGCCTGCTCTTTCTCCTGAGTTTGAACGTAAATCGAATTACCAGTATTCAGTTAATCAACCCCTCAACCACAAGTGGGACATGATAAGCTTTGGGAAAAATACACCAACCCCTTCCAATGTATCCAGATATTCAGATCCGGGAAATCATATAGTATATATACATATATAGTTAATGGGAAGAAATGCCTAGTTAGTAACTTTAATTTATAAACGTCTTTACTTATCACTTGCTTTTTAAAGAATAGCCCATAGAATACGGTCTGAAATACCAGCATTCCTTACCTTAATTCTTTTAAATATTTCCAAAGGCATTTTAGTCAAGCTCAGAAATTCTTTATTTTACCAATCTTGTGAATTGTCAGATTGATTTTCATTTGCTTAGTTCTTTTGCTGAAGCTATATCTATCGCTTACCGATTTAAAGGTAGGGAATGTTTCGCTTATTTGTAACTTTTCTCCAGTTTTTCTCAGATTAGTATTTTAAAGAAGTTCAGTTGCTGAATTCTTTCATTACGATCTTTTCCTCCACCTGTAACGTAAATCCTTTCTCTTTTAAATTTGTTTCTGCGCTGTATAATCTTAATTTTAGGCACTCACCTGAACTTTTTTCTTCAGCATTCTTGAATCCTAAATGTTTGCAAAAACCGCTCAGAATAATAATTGTGCCGGAAAATACAAGAGATTAAATTTTTCGGTATACGGTTTTGGTGCTAAAATTCTTTCTTGATCGAAATGAGTGCTTAACCAGACTCGGCACAAAAATGCTGTGGGAGTGTGTGAGGGCCCCCCTAGAAGGCGATCCAGCTATTGATGTTACATCATAAGAAACGTTGATCTCCTGCTTTAATTATAAACTATACGGGAACTAAATTTCTTAAGCACAGCAAAACAGAAAATTAATAACGAAGAAGATTATTTTGACTGCTCCCAGAGTGAACTGAGTGCTTAGTCCAACTCGATAGACAGACACCAAAATGGAAAAAAGGGAGAGCAAGAGCCGTGTGAATATCGATGGGACACTGTAAGAAACTTAAAGTTTTCATACTAGAAATCATCAGTAGCTAGATTGATCTCAAGGCGAGGAATTCCAACCCAGAAAGATTTCTGAAATTTCCGTTTAAAAATTTTGAACTCCGTGTGATATCCCATCAATATCCAGATGGGATGGCTTTCATTATCATTCCATGCGTCTTCACAGAAACTCCTGCGAAGTTAGAAATATCAGAAAATACAGGACTGAACATTGGATTAGATTTCTTGGATTATGGAAAAGCATGTGAAGGCGTTAGAAAATACGGTATAACAGCGAGTAGACATCATTACCTTCTTCTACGAAGTGACTGAAGTAACTGTAACTGTCTTATTTGGGTTATGCATTTATCAAAAATTTTAAGATCTTTCTCAAAAAGATTATACACCAAGAAGGTGAGTTTTGTGAATATGTACTACATACTAGTTAACTAGTTAGGTTACAATAAACTTTCAAATCACACAATTTAGAAATTTCAATTACCCATACTTTGAAAACATAGAATTTTTGATACAGAAAATATTATATTTCTGCAATATTTTGTTTATTCAAAATTATGTAAGCTCTTTTCAGTGTATGGTATTTCTTGCGCCATCCTACTATGTGCATTGCTTTCGACAATAACTTAGAAATTTCTGAAAGATTTGGTGTTGGTTTATTTAATTATGGCAAAGCACACGAGGGCTATCTGCCTAAGGGGAGGGATGCCTTTCGTGGAGGACTTTCTAAGGGAAACTGGCTCGTATACAGGTTACACATGGGGAAAACCACGAAAACGCCCATGCAGCCAGCCCGTTCGCGGGATTCGAACCTCGGACCGAACTACCAGTGTTCAGCGACTTTACCGCTCGGCCGCTGGTGGGCTCTGAAAGATTTATCCAACAAGTTTCTTTCCCTTTATTAATCGCCTTCTCAGTGCACAAATCTCGGTAAAAAAAGAAACTTATTTCCTCTGCGAAGAGGAGAAGCCGACAAAAATTCTTCTATTTTAAAAACTGAAACTTGCTAAGAAAGAGATCAACGATGATTTTAAGGTTACAGGATTCGAGTGCATCTAGTAGAAAGCTTCGAAGCTTTCCTAACTTTTCTGCGTC